TATTTTATTTATTATTTTTATTTTATGTGTATGAGTGTATTGCCTGTATGTATGTGAGTGCACCCGTGTCATGCAAGGCCGTAGAGTGTAGAAGAGGGCTTCAGATTCCCCTGGAACTGGAGTTAAGGACGATTTGTAGCTGCCATGTGGGTGTTGGGAATCAAAGCAGGGTCCTCTGCAAGAGCAGTCAGTGCTCTTAACCGCTGAGCCATCTCTCCAGCCTCACGACTCTTTTTATAGATTGTTGAAATATTTTCATAATATTTCTAAGAGCTAAGAGCTCTTTTTATTAGAGGAGAGGCGGGTCGAGACAGAGTCTTGCTATGTAGCCCTGCATGGCCTCAACCTCACAGCAATCCTCTTGCCTCGGCCTCTTGAATGTTGGGATCACGAATATACTGCACAAATATGCCTGGCATTAAGAGTCCTTTTTATTTTAGAAGAGTTAACACTTTATCTACTACATAAGTTACAAAATTTACCTAGAGTACATAAATCATCTTTGATCCAGCTTATGATTTTTTGCAGTGTTCACTAAATGTACTGAACAAATACAACTGAAAACAGATACTGACAACAGACACTGATACCGATTCTTAAAGTCAAATCACAGGGCCAGAGCTTAGTAGAGAAAACAGTGCCTTGAAACACAGCAATTCTGGCATGGCATAGTGGGTAAAATATGAAAAGGCAAGAATAAAACTAGGGCATGCATGCATGCATTGCGTGCATGAGTGTGCCCATGCATTCCTCCTCAGGTTTCATCAACTTTGTTTTTTGAAAGACTGTCTCTCACTGGCTGAGGGCTTGCTGATTAGGGCTAAACTGGCTGGCTAGCAAGCTTCAAGGATCCACCTTCCTCTACCTCCCTAGTGCTAGGATTACAAATATATGCTACCATGCCTGGCTTCTTTTACATGGGTTCTGGGAACAGAACTCAGGCTCTCATACTTGCACAGCAAGTACTTTACAGACTGAGCTATCTCACCAACCTTCCAACCCCAACTGCTATTCATTGCAAAATTCATTGGTTCTCCAAAAACTCCTGAGACTAAAATGGATTCTTCCTCTTTTGTTTCCTTATGCTTGCCTTGTTCAGAATTACATTCAGGCCCAGTTGACAATTTCAGAAGAAAAGCAAAGCAAGAGAAAGCCTTTATTCCAAAAGCCATCAACTGGCAGGCAGATAGTAAATCACACATGTGGGATAAGCACTAGAGGCAGGAGGGCTTGGATGGAGGTCAACAATGCCAGCACCCCTCCATGAGGTAGGCTAGTGAAAAGAGCAAGGAGCTGCTGTCTGTAGTTTGGGAAGGGTAGAATGTCTGCTTCATCAGGCTTTGGAGCTAACAATTCAACTTCCAAAGTAGAAACATTGTAGCACAGTTTTAAGTATGCTTAGTTTATTAAGGCCAACTACATAAGTGGCAAAGAGAGTCAGGTCTCATCAGAGCTGGGCTTTGAAAACCCATAATCACAAGAAGTAACACTCCTGAGACTTTCTAAAATCATCAGGTAGCTTCTATTTTAGAAAGAATATACTTACTCAGACAGGAAATTTGCATGGTAGTAGTAATCTGAAAGTTTATCCAGGAAAGAACGGGGTTCCAAAATAAATGTAGGAAGAACCACCCTGGACAGGTCCATGCCAGGACGCACTTGTTTCAGCAAAGTCCAGATCAGGCTTTTGTTTTCTTCAGACACGGTTTCTGTTTGAGAAGCCTCACCTGCCTTTAGCAATTAATAAAAGCACACTGTAATATTATATTTATCTCAGACACACAGACATGTAGTGAATGATATAACATGAATCTCACCGGGACTACTCTAAGCATTCTAAAAAATGTAGAAACAACTGCCAAGGTAACCAAGTCTAGAGGTCTAAAAGCAAAAGGAGACCTACGAGAGAGCACACTGAAGAACACATACACAAGACTTACTACATAAAAAACCATGTTCTAGTATTTTATTTGTTCAACTAAAAACTTTTTTTCTTCCTTTTGAGCCAAGGTTTTGCTCTATGAACTAGGCTGCCCTGGAACTTGCAAACCTCCTGCTTCTGCCTCCCAAATGCTGGGATTACAGGTATGTGCCACCAACCCAGCTTTGTACCTGAATGTTTTATTTATTGTATTTGCTACTATGCACTGGTAACAAGCAAGTGTTAAACTTAATGCTTACTTGAACTTTGCTTTATACCTGGCAATGGCATCAAGTAGTACCCTATTTCAAAAGCAAATCTGGAAGAAAATATCAACTTTAAACTTAACAGATCACACTGTATTTGGTTATATTTTTGGTTGCTGGTAAATTCTAATATATTTCATAATATACCTTTAAAAAACTGGTGCCATATAAATGTTCTTCTGGGAAACAGTTAAGTCAAGCAAATATCATCTACAATTTCATGTGGAAAATTCTAAGAATTAGTAAACCATTATCTCTATGACTTTTACCTCTCCGAGTTCTTCATGGCTCTGCTCCATGTAGGTAGTCTCCTTCAAAGGCTCAACAGGCTCAGGCTCAATATATGAGTCATCTTGCCTTTCTGATGTATCTGTGTCACTTTCTTCACTTTTCCCCATCACCTCATTGTCAGATTCATCATGCTCTTGATCATTTTCTTTATCAGATTTATCTGAATACATATCTTGATCCTTAAAGTGTTGTCTTTCAATTTCACTGTCATTTAACCTTGGGAATAATTAGATGGAAAAGCAAAGGCAGCTAAGAATGATTCATAAACTAGAATAACATGTAACATTTCCTGTGAATTTACAATGTACTGTGCACTGTTCTAAAAGTGTTTTTAATATAGTTTAACTCATTTAATCCTCAAAATTACTCTAAAATGGATATTATTATTTTACAGATTAGTAAACAGAGGAACATGAAAGTTACATAAAAGTCTAAGATATTAAAAGACAATAATCTAAGCCCTCTGCTGTTTTACTCTTGGAACTAAAATCTCACAAGGAAATTTATACTACTTCTTACTAGATTTTTTTCCCCCATTGTTTTACAAACATCATCACTTGAAGCATGACCACTGTTGCTTCTGGTTTGGAGAAAAAAATAAGATGATCAGGTTCTCAGGTAGGTAAATAAATTATGACTTTTCCCTGCAAAGAGCTTCAAAATTACCCCAAAATAACTAAGAATAAGATGGAAAGCATGTTTTAAATTCTATTCAACATTTATCTGATAGGCTTATTGTGAGGAAAAAATTCCACAGCGCACTGGAAATGGAAATTTCGGCCTATGGAAATAAGCCTATAGATTAAAAATGACAATTTCTTCTATATTTACCCTATTCTTACAGTATCTGGGGTAAATACTCTGTAGAAAAAGGAGGAATACCTTGGGAAGAGGGCCTAACAAATACCCATTTCTGTATCAGCTGCCCATCCCATTCCAGCCCTGTTCCATCAGGCTATAGATAGTTGCAGTTAAGATAAACTTCTAGATCCTACATCTGCAAAGAAAGAATACAAAAAGCCAGGTAATGGAATTCCCCCTTCTTCTTCTTTGTAGTGCCGGGCAAAAGAATAGGAAAAGAAATGTTCAGTTCCGATCACATGGAGAAGACAGCAGAGCCTGCCTTTATGGAGAGTAACCTCAGGGATGATGAAAATAAATGGCTACAGAGCAAAAGCTAAGGGCTTTGAAGGGAGGAAAGGGGCAAAATCTAGGTTTTTTCCTGCAAAGCAACAAAAGAGACTACTAGCACCTAAATAAAATACACCCATTGCATTCCATTTGTGCCAGAGAAACATTTTGTTAGTATTAGCTACAATTGCTTCAAGGGGATAAAACCACAAATCAGATATAGTTCCCACTCAAAACACTTCCACAAATGCCAGGTAAAATCCACAGCCATTAGAAAACATGCTATAGCCAGACATGGTGGCACACGCCTTTAATCCCAGCACTTGGAAGGCAGAGACAGGCAGATCTCTCTGAGTTCAAGGCCAGCCTGATCTACATAGTGAGTTCCAGGCCAGCTGGGGCTACAGGGAGACCCTGTCTAAAAAATGAAAGAAAACATGATAAGAAATGCAGATTACATCTCATTGTTTTGAGACAGGAATAGCTTCACATGAGATTAATATTTGAAACTGATCTTGAAATAGACATGGGGCTATGACAGAAGGAAACAACAAGAAGTAGAAATTCCTCCTAGTGGAAGGTACACCACACAAAGAGACTAAGTAGATACTCAGTTTACTTGTACCCGGAAAAGAGAATAATGCATACTGGCTAGAATGAAAAAAAAAAAAAATTCCCACATCTGAACAAAGGAGATAAATTTTAAATGCCTTAGGGCATATAGTAAGATAGGTAAAATTTGAATCCAACATGTTACTAAAATAGTACAAACGACAACTAATCTAGTAAACAGAGAGGTATCTGAAATCACTAAGGGATTAGATAGTAGCAGTATCTGCTTACTGGAAGTTGTCACCACTGTGGAGATTGTTGGCGCGTAGTAAGCCATAAAGAGTCACATGTGTGTTATCTGATGAAATGCTCAGGTCATGCTCCTTTCCTTCCCTGATCATTGTACGTTTAAGAAGACTAGAACATTTCAAAGCCAACTCCAAAGCATCCATCCAGCACCTTCCTGGAAGAACACAGATTTATAAGCAGGAAAAGTAATGAAACTCTGAAGCTACCATTATTTAGTTTAACCCTGTTGCCTTTAAACATAGTTTGAGATATATGAACATAAAAATGTGCCAGGATTTTAATGAAATCTATGTTTTGTGCTTTTTACATTAAAAAAAATTACAGATAAAAGAACATATAGGATGTACTATGCAAGCACATCTGATCCAAAACAAACCAACCTTACCTTATAAACCTTAGAATATTAACATGCAGCATAATTTGAAGGTATCAAGCAAAGTACCTCAAATATCCTGAAGAGAATAAGTTTCTACTATGAGTAAACTAACTAAAATAATGTTTTATTCCAGACAAGAGGTTTATCCCCAGGTTTTGTACCCATTCTACTTACATGTATAAAAAATATATTAGCATGTACTAATTAATCATAGGCTTGCTGTAACATTTTTACACAGGCAATAATGTCCTTTGATCACATTTACCCTGTCCACCACCCTCTATCTGCTGGCTCTACATTCACTTCTTACCATTTCCTTCTACTCTCATGTTACCTGTTCTTTATTTTCTAGAGTTCACATATGATAGAAAACATGTAATACTACCTGGAGGCTTTAACAAAGGAAAAATTAAGCCAGGAAAATGTCTTTTTTTTGAGTTTTAGAAATATTTTTTTTATCATTTTTATTTTATTTTATTTTTACAGAAAAAATCATTTTTAATGCAATTGACATTAAGATGTTTGCACATGTGTTTCTAATCTCTACGTATCTGATTATTACTAGTCACAGTTACTTTCTGACTCCTTGGCATCTGAGCATGGATATAAAGTCATCACGTACAATTCAATGGAAATGTTTTTCACATCTACTAATTATTAAGGAGGAAATATTTATGCTCTGAAGAATTATTTTTTTAAAATTTTGAATAACTGCATGATTAGAGGAAGCATTTCACTACAGCTTTAACATCTCCAGTAACACGCTCCAGAACAAGAGTACATCTCTTTCATAAGAGGCTGCAAGTTTCTAGGGTCACAGTTGAATTAATACAGTTATACAATATTGGACTCAGTATAAGCCCTGTAAAATATAAAATTGAATGAGTTATAACCTTTAAAAAAGATCTCCATTTCATTTTAGAATATGTTGTTCCTTGCAGAAAGACTCATTCTTTTTACTGCTAACACTGAGATGTTGGCGCATGCATCTCAAATCTGTATGTATCTGATTATTGCTAGTCATAATCGGTTGCACTTGGATCCTTGGCACCCGTGTATGTCTATATAAAGTCATCGGGTATATTTCAGTGGTAATGTTCATCAGCTCTACTAATTACCATGCTGTAATAAATTTCAATGCTTCCTCCTCAAATATAACACATTTTTAAAACTTTGTTCATTTTTTTTTTGTGTATCTGTGTGTATATCAAACAGAACATCCCAAACTGTCTTATTCAACTATAACCCACTTCTCAGATGGGACACTCCCATAGCCTCCCTCCCCCCACTAGAACCTTTGTACTCTGATATCCCTGGTACTGTCTGCTGTGTTGTCAGCAACCCAACCATTCCGCACTACTTGCCCTTCTGGTCAATCTAGTCAGCCTATCTAGAGGTCTTTGTTTTAGGAGGGTCAGCTGTTCCTCATCTAGCAGCAATCAGCTGTAAATATTCCTTTAGATAACATTGGGGTCTACAATTCATTTTCCCAGTTCTATGCTGGGTTACCATCTGGGAGTCCCTTTGGCCACTCTGGCCAACAACTCAAAAGAAGGTATCTCCTATCTGGCACTATTGCTTGTTATGTAGACTTTAGCGATGCATATGGACTCTTAAGAAATTATATTGGCCCCTTAAATCTTTGGTTATACTTTCCTTTTGGGTGTTTAAGGCCATACAGTTGGTCCAGATAAACCAATTTATTTTTACTCTCAAGGTCATTTGAGGATCTGTTCCTCAGGGATCACATGGGCTTGGGAGGAGCCCCTGGCTCCTTTCTTTTACCAGTTCCGCCTATGTGAAGATAAGTCAAAGGTCCTACTTGACCACAGTTGGCTTCACATGGAAGCATGGAGGAAATGATTCCTCTGTGTTGACCCTCCTCTTTGTAGACTGGACACTGGTTCAAGTCAATCTGGTGGGGTCTCCTCGCCCTTCTTGACCAAGAGGACTGGTGACCCACCACAATTACAGGACATTTGGTGAGATGCTCATAGTCCCCTGGAACTAGTCGACCTAGGAGGGCAAGGAACAAAAACTGTCCTTTATGTCGCTCTCATCAAATTATTATAAGCCTCAAAGTATGTCTGTTAAACATCCAAGAAGGTTAGTTCCACCAGTCTGGTACTTTTAATTCCTGTGTGTCATGTAGATAAATCTTGGGCAAAGACCAATTGTTCTCAGATAAACCTTACCTAGCATATATTTCTTGATCTGGTATGTATAATTTGTCATTAGGTTGTTGGACTAATATGGTTCCCTCTGGTTTTTAAAACTATAGGCATT